CCTTGGTCCAGCACCACCTGTTGTAGATTGAGTGCAGGTCAGGGAGCTCGGAGCGGATGGTGCGCTCAGCTGACCGCACAACCCTCTGTAGAGCTCGTCTGTCCTGCATGGTGCTGTTCCCGAACCAGGTTAAGATGTTTCCCGTCAGGATGCTCTCTATGGTGCACGAGTAAAAGTTCCTGAGCACCTTGGAGGGCAGTTGGAAGTCTCTCAAGCGTCTGAGGTGGTAGAGACGCTGTCGGGCCTTTTTCACCACGGTGTTGATGTGACAGGACCATGACAGGTCCTGCGTGATGTGAACTCCAAGGTATTTGAAGCTGTCCACTCTCTCCACTGGGCACTCGTTGATGACAGGGGTCTGGTAGTTCCTCTCCTGCTTAGTGCTGAAGTCCACTATCAGCTCCTTTGTCTTACTGACATTTAGAAGGAGGTTGTTCCTCTGGCACCAGTTCTCCAGATTCCTAATCTCCTTCAGGTAGGCCGTCTTGTTGATATCAGAGATCAGGCCCACCATGACGGTGTCGTCAGCAAACTTGATGATGGTGGTGGAGCTGGTAGTGGCCACGCAGTCATATGTGTACAGAGAGTACAGCAGGGGGCTCAGAGCACACCCCTGGGGGGCTCCAGTGCTGAGAGTGGTGGAGGCTGAGACATGTCCGCCCATCCTTACTGCCTGTGGTCTGCCAGTTAGGAAGTTGGAGATCCACTGACACATAGATGAGCTGAGTCCCAGATGCTCCAGCTTGGTGGTGAGTGTGGAGGGAATTATGGTGTTAAATGCAGAGCTGTAGTCTATGAAGAGCATTTTAACATAATTCCCCCTTCTAATGTCCAAGTGAGTGAGTGATGTGTGGAGGAGATGAGAGATGGCATCGTCTGTGGAACGATTTGGACGGTAAGCAAACTGTAGTGGGTCCAGTGTGTCTGGTAGTGAAGAAAGTAAGTTACAGTAAGTTCTTGCATTTTTTTAAAAGTCAAATTAATCATTAAAAGTTCCAAATTATCATTATATTCATTCCCATGATTAGTGGATGTGAACTTCTGGCCAGAACTCTATTTATTATTTTGTGCTTACTCTCTTCTTACATGACTTTCCCTATGTGAATAGCGCAGGTCAGTTTAATGATAATATATAATAGAAACTTTAAAGGTGAGCCTGGGAAGTCAAAGAAGACATTCTTGTTAACAAACTGTATTGAACAAATTAATCTATCTCAGTGTTTCTCAAACTGTGGTACCTGTACCACTAGTGGTGCTTGGGCTCTCTCTGATGGTACACAGGTAATCTCCAGTTTTTTTTTAAGATAAACAATCTACCATTGTGGAGGTATGCAAAGACGACACAAGAGATCTTGAGGCTCTTCTGGGAGCATGAATTGACCAGAAAATGTCTCCCTGAGTGAGTCTTTTGTTTAGAGCAGCCTTTCCTTATCACCAGCGGTTGCGGCTGCTACAGAGTGCTGGCAGGCTCGTTTCCCTGGGCCTTAAATCTGCAAGGCGGCAGACAGCACCGTGCTGGGGCACTAAAATGCTGATGGTAAAACCACAGCCCTTTTCTGCTGTGCCACGATGCTAGCCACCATCGATGAGTCGGAGGCCCCTGGGAAAATCGGTGGGAGCGCGGGAGATGCTGTCTCAACTATGGCCTGGATGCCAAATCTCCTAGTAGCCAAGAGAATGCAATCTGCTTCTTTTGCGAGTGAATAGTAATCGTTCGAAGCTAGTAGCGGGAAGTTGTTGAGGCCAGCTGCACTGGTGCCGGTAACTGTCAGATGCAGAGGTGAGTGAAGAGGAATCCGCCATCATCCATTCCTTGCAAGTACAGCCTGAGAGTGGTACCATCACCCAGACCCGAGTGGACAGTGGATCCAGAGAGGCCACCACATGATTGTATGTCGGAATATTATTCCAGATTAAATAAACTTAAAAAAAATACACTTTAACTTTAAATATTTTGCTCTTCATAAAGATATATCCTGTCAAAATTATGCAAGTTAGAAATATGAACATGCTGCCAAAAACCCCAGAAAAAATAAATGACAGCATTCACAAGGTTCAAGCCGCATGTAGACGGAGCTGGGGCGTTGCTTCAGGAAAGGAACTAATAAACTAATAAACTGTGTACAGTGTACAGTGTCGTACTTTCCCTGAGTGCATCATTACACTGCAGCTCCATCTGAATCCTGCACAGGTGTAGTTCAGCAAAGTGCGCTGACTTGGTTCAACATTACTTGGCAACAGGGAAAGTGAGGCAGGTTGCACTGGTGCATTTGTGACAGCTTCACTTGAAATGCCTTCACCACATCATACATGCCATGTCCATGAACTGACAGGTTTCCTTGCTGAGCTCAAAACCTCTATTGAGAACTTTTATCCCAACTCAGCCAGCGGACCTCTGTATGATGAGGAATGTCGGCAAACTCTGAATCTATTTCCCACATAAAAGACTGAAATTGACGGTGATTTAAACTTTAAGCTCAGATAAAATTTACGGTTTGCGTTACGGTGATCATTACATGCTCCATTTTTAGGACTTTACCACACAGCCTTTCCTGGTGTGTGATGCAGTGATATGCTGTCAAGTCACCGGTACAGTTTTCCTCCTGCATCTTTACTCGCATCCTGCCTACTAGTCCGCTTTTTTCACCGCACAACACCGGCGCTCCATCTGTTGTAAGTCCAACAAGTTTGTCCCAGGGCAGTTTCATGTCGGTTACACTTTGACATACGTTTTAAAAAATCTCTTTTCCTGACGTTGTCCCGTGCATCGATTTAATGTTCAATATTTCCTCTCCACCGATGAAGATGGCCAGCTGTGCAATGTCCATCATGTCTATACTTTCATCCACAGAAAGAGAGTATGCAATGAAGTTTTTGCTTCTTTCACACAACTGTGTTCTTAAATCAGTGGCCATCTCACAAACCCGATCAGCAATCGTATTTCTGCTCAGGCTCACAAAATCTGCGTTTTGTATGGACACATTATTTATGTGTAATATCTTTACGTATGTTGGTAAATAGACTTCGGTGAACACAGTTTACAAAGGGGTTATATATAGAATTAAAAAATTATCTGTTTTTCAAGTATCTTTATAACTCTGTTACTGTACTTAAATTATAACCAATCCGGCTCTTTATCAATACTTAAAAGATTTTTACAGAACTATTGTAATATTTGCTGCCATTTCCGCTGTCCTCTTGGCCAACTTACTCTTACAAAAGACATTTTTAATGTTAATGAGATTTTTGTAACCGCATAAATAAAGGTTATATAAAAGTCACTGCCAAAAACTGATTGCGGCTTCTACCTTGTTACACGAATGTTGTTTGTGGCTCAAGATGACTTTATGTCATCCATGAGGGATGCATTTGACATATGTTTGACATATTATAGCCCAACAAGTTACTTATAGCAGTTTAAATACCAGCAATCAGTTTTTGGCAAACACCGGAAATCACTTTTTGGCAGACAATCACTTTATGGCACAATACCAGCTGATTTGGCTGGCTCCTCTGCTACAATAAAACTTTCACAACAGCTTCACTTTGTGATTTTGCTCTGGTGACAAAAGTCTGTTGAAATGTCAGATTCTTCTTTAGCTCTTCTACTTTCTGTAGTTTCTGCATTTAGGTTTTTCAGCTTATCCTGACGTTTTGTCTCGTAGTGCCGTCTTAAATTAAATTCCTTTATTACAGCCACATTAGCTCCACTAATAAGACACATGGGTTTACCAGCAATGTCTGTAAACATATATTCAGTCACCCACTGGTGCTGAAAGGCTCTGCTTTCAGAATCAACTTTTCTCTCCACCATTGTGCGCGGCTAGCTTCGCAATAACAGAAGTTTGACTTGATTGAGGTGGGAATGTTCCCAGTTAGCCTAGCGGTCAGCAAGGAGGCTGCAGTGCTGCATTATGGGATCTGTAGTTTAGCCTAGCGTTTAGCAAGGAGGCTGCAGCACTGCATTATGGGATCTGTAGTTTGTATATTATTAGCGTCTATCGCCAGGCCATGCATAACAATAATAGTACATCTATATAAAATGATCTCCCAGGCCGGATATAAATGTACGTCGGGCTGGATGTGGCCCGCAGGCCTTGACTTTGACACATGTGCTGTAAACGGACCAAACTTCAGTTCAGAGAACAACTGAGATAATCCATCCATATGAGATTAGTCATTAGTATACTGCTGCATATGTTGGGCTGTAGTTACATGGTAAATTTTTAAAAAGTGCTTTTACGGGCTTTTCCAGATTAAATAGAACACGATAAACAGCATTAAAAAAATGTTAAAAACACAACAAGCCTGATAAACAGAGACTAGTTTGAACCCGGAAGCAGGGTTCATCAGTTCATCATTTAAAGATTGGCTTTCCCACATGATGTGAATGTTTTAGTGCAGTACAGTTGTTATTATATAAGAAATTTAAATTTTCTTGTGTAAACTGTATATGGTGTTAATTAGGCCTATACTACTGTACTTTAATGTCAGTCTTAAGGGTGGTACTTCAAGAGCCATATATTTTATGATGAGTACCACATCATAAAGTACCTCTGTGGCTCTTTAAGTCCCTCTGTGCCTTGGTTAAAGCTGTTGTGTGTTTTGCCCTTTTTCCTGGCATAAAAAAGAAAATTGTTGGAAAAGTGATAAAATAAAAATGAAAGATCATTCTAAATACAAATAGTTTAAAAAATACAATTAATTCAAAAACTAAAATGTTTTATTGTATTTGACTCAAGCAGCAATTAAAACATTTCTATGTTTTGAAACTAATCTCATTTACTGACAGTTGGTTGAGATATTTGCTTTCACTGTTCATTATCAGTTATCAGGTACCATCTCAAACTCATGAGCATGAAACATTTCCTCATACCAGAACAGTTTACTACACATTGTATAGGATGCAGGAAACAGCAAGTAGATAAAAGGAGGAGAGTCAGAGAGAGGCTGTATTTGACGTACAAGTGTCTTTGTGAAGACAGACTAACAGATTGACCATGTCGCTCTCCGCAGTGCTGCTGCTGCTGCTGCATCTGACGGTCTGCAACTCGCAGAATGTTGATTTCTTCCATAACAGTTTAAATGGCTTTGTTGGTGCAATCAACTTCTATACAAAAGAGACATTTGTAAATAATTCTTCTTCGGTATGTACAGGCTTTTTTCTAAAATGTGTTTATATTTTGAAATGTAGGTTTTCTTTACTAAATTCTTATTCACTGTGACTCCACAGCTGACCATTCGCCTAATGGGGAACAATCTCAACTGCATTCCCGATTTCTCATTTGATTGCCAAAATAGCAACTGTGGGTATGTGAGCACTTTGGTACGCACGGTCGACCAAGAAGGCAGCGGAGAGTGGTGTCAGAATGAACTTAGGTCTGTTCAGCCATCTCCCATTAATGTGGTTGGTTCATTTGGGTGAGTGTACCTCGAAAATATATAAAACGAACTTATTATTCATATTGTTATCATTCTTACACACACACACACACACACACACACACACACACACACACACACACACACACACACACACATATATTAGTCCATATAGTGTTTTGCTATATACAGTGTAACACGCTGAAAACTGACTCTCACACTATTTTCTATTGAAGGGTCCCTGGTGTTAATTGGGTGAGTGGCATCAAAAACAACATTGGATCATGGACAACTGCAGTAACATACGACCTGAGGAACCGCTCTGACATCAACAAAGAAAGCTCCTCACCCCAGTCTACCGTGATCCCATTTGTGAGGTGAGCCAACTCACTGTTTGTGTCTCTGCTAAAAAGCAACAGCAGTATCAGGACAAGAGGGACTGTGGCATTACTGCAAACTTCAAATCTGATATTGTTTCCACGTAGAAGACAAAACTGCTTACAGTATAAGGGCAAAGTCTAAAAATATAGACAAAACATTATTAATATTTAACTTGCTGCATGGTCAACTTTAACAGCTATTGCAACCACTGCCTCCGTAATAGAGTGGCAATAAACTAATTAAATGAACAAAAATAATTTACCAAAAATAGTTTCCACACTAAAACGTTTGCATTTAAAGGTTTTAATTGTAATCCTATAACTCTTTCCTTAAAGAGCTTCTCTTACAGTACCCCCAGGCTCCAAATGAGAGAAAAACAGAAAATGAGCATGAGTATGAAGATGTCATGGTCCTGGGTAATTTTGACCCAGTGTTCTTAGTTTTTCTGTGGTTTTGTATTTTGTTCCTTATGTTCATTGGATTTTTGGTTTGGTATTTGGATTCCCCCTGTGTCCATGCTTTTATTGTGGTGTTTGTTCTGGTACCGTGTTCCCGTCCTTTGTGTTCTGTGTTCTCCTCATCCCTCGTGTATTCATCCCTGTTCTCTGCCTCTCCCTCTGTGCTCATCTCTGTGTACTGTGTTGTGTTTAAGATAAGACTTTATTGATCCCACAACGGGGAAATTTTTGCGTCACCTCAACTCAGGTACAGATATATGAAGGAAATACAAAAATACAATTAAGTACAATCAATGAAAAAAAGTAAGATAATAACTATATACACCGTATGTGATTATGGATATGGTTGGAAATATGGAAGACAAACTATATAGCTTGGAAGGTCATGGAAGGTCCATTATGCATGAAGTGGTGACTGTGGATGTTCACAGTGTCCAGTGACTTATGACATCGTGATTGAGGAGTTATAGAGTCTAACTGCTGTTGGGATGAAGGATCTGCTGAAACAAAGTCGCAGGCTAACATTAATATTTATTGAAATATATTTATTCCTCCAGATATAAGAATGAATCTTTTCTTATGGACTCAAACACGTTTTGGTGAAAAACTGAATATGGAACAAGCAAAGCTTAATAATAAACAATATATATATGCTGTATAATACCAGTAGGCCAGCTCTAATAGTAATTTGGTATGGCTTCGCGGGCCAAATGTAATTAGGCTGCGGGCCAAATTTGGCCCGCGGGCCAGAGTTTGACACCTATGCTCTAAAGGCTCACGATCTGTAAATGTTGAATCCGAACCCGAACGTCTTATGAACTGTTGTACTGCCCAGAGGGTCAACTCAGAGACAGTTTCTCCTACGTTTGGACTCATATTTGAGAAAGATTATCCTTCGCTAGTGTTTCCTAGGTCTGAAAACTTGAAGTCATCATTTCCTGAGTTAGAGACACCTGTTTCTGTGCCCTTTACCTGTGTGTCTGCTGATGATGATTGTTTGCAGTTACGCTCACCACTGGGGCTTTAAAACCTGCCTCCTTAGATGTTAAAGCAGTAAAATCCAAGACTGTAAATGTTCCTGTGATAGCTCGACCCCAGTTCGTTACTTCTGAGCCATCATGGGGAAAGTCCATTCTGACGTATTTACTGATTCAAATTTTCTTGAGTCAGGGGGCACTACACCGACCACTGTTTTCACTAGGTTTGCTGCTTCCAGCGATCCGGAGGTAAAAGACTTTGTTTCATCTGCCTCTCCGGTGCACAGAACTATGTTTACATCGGCTATTAACCCCTCCTCTGACAGTATAAGCATGGTTAGCTCCGAAGAAAGTAGCTCTAAGACTATTGGTGCATCAGCTGATCACATTTCTCTAGAGTCTGTAAACACTGAAGGTGGTGCTTTAGTGCCTGTAAGCTACAGCTTTAGTACACTTAACACTACGAAGTCAGAGCGCTGTTCCTCTGTTTTCGGCCTCTGCCTACCCACAGCAGGTCTCGCCTGTTTTGCCACCCACCGGGTCGGCCGCCAGAACTATGTTTGCTGCCATTAGGGTGGGGGAGCTCGGCGAGCGGGAGGAGCGCGCATCACCAACTGCAGGGCTCAGCGAGCAGGACGTGCCGTGGGGGAATGAGGACCCAAAACACATGGTTCTGCGATGCAAACGGCACACTTTATTTACAGTGAAGGCTGTAAACACAATAACTCCCCATTGCTCCCTTGAATCCCGTGTGTGTGTGCTCCCCTCCCTGTGCATGCTGCTGTTCTGGTCCACTCTTCCACCTGGGGGGGAAACCACAAAAACAGCCATCAACACCAACCCTGGCGGGCATACATGAACTACACCGTCATACGCTGACACACACTAACTTGGGTAGACAACTCAATGATCCCGCGCCGGTGGGAGCTCCAACACTCTCCTAAGTAGCTCCCCCGACGAGCCCTGATCACCAACAGGTGTGTGGCAGGAACTTCAGGTGTGGCCAGTCCTCCTGCAGGGCCACCGCGGACGTGCTGCTGGTCCCTCTGGCTCTCCAAGCTGCGGCGCAGGCACGTCCTGCTCGCTGAGCCCCGCAGTTGGTGATGTGCGCTCCTCCCGCTCGCCGAGCTCTCCCGCCCTAATGGCAGCAAACATAGTTCTGGCGGCCGACCCGGTGGGTGGCAAAACAGGCGAGACCTGCTGTGGGTAGGCAGAGGCCGAAAACAGTTCAGGAGACCTACCTCTAGTCCATCAACGGGAACACTGGATCTCCGGCGGACGGCCATGGGTCCGGCAGCAGCAACGAAGCGGTTCGGGGGCCTGCCACTAATCCAGTGGCGGCGGTGCTGCATCTCTGGGGGCCTACCAAGCGTCCAATGGTTACAGCGCTGGAGCTCTGGCGGCCTGCCACACGTCCAGTGGTGGCGGCAATGCAGCTCCGGCGGGCGGCTATGGGTCTGGCAGCTGCGGCGAAACGGTCCCGGTGGTGGCGGCATTGCGGCTATGGGTCCGGCAGCCGTGGCAAAATGGGTCCGGCGGGTGGCCATGGGTCCGGTGGCGGCGGCGTGGCAGCTGCAGCGGGCTTCCACGGGTCCGGTGGCGGCGGCGTGGCAGCTGTGGTGGACGACAATGTAGCACAACACACAATCTACGATGTGCTGGCCGTGCTGCTGGTCGCAGACGTGCTGCTGGTCCCTCTGGCTCTCCAAGCTGCTCTCCCGCTCTCCGAGCACCCGCTCCGGCTCGCTGAGCCCCTCCTGCCACGGCGCAACAACAGATGGTTGATCCGGAGGCGAAGATGGTGGTACAACGGCTGCAGGTGGTGGAGATGATGGTAGAGTAGTGGGTGTGGAAGGTGGAACAGATGACAGCTGAGTGACTAGCTAGGCAGCAGACTGAGTTGAGGGTGTTATGGCTATCATGAAGGGTGGAGAGGATGAAAATGTTACAGCTGGCTCAACAAATACCAGGGGTCCAGAGGCAGCTGAGGCCTCCAGTTCGGCCTCTGGGGAAGCCCTGGGGAGAACCTCCGTCTCCATGTGGCCAGACTGGGCCAAAACGTCATCTGGGTCTGCATGCTCTGAGCTCCCTAGCTCCAGGCTCACAGTCTCAAAGTGAACATTTTCAGAGTTTTTGGAGGTAAAGCAAACAGTTTCTGACCCCACCGACTCTGAGCTAACGACTTCAGGGCTGTCTATGCAAAATTCTTCCCCAGAATTAGCACTCAGACCACATTCGTCTGTCAGTGGTCCAAAGACCTTCTACAGTTTCTCCATTGTTAATTGCCGTAGCGGCTATAGTCTCTATTTCCATGTTCACAGGGAGGGAATTTACAACACCGGCAGAGTCCATTTTACTCACTGTGGCGTCCAGAGCAGCTAGTCCTGAGTCTTCAACAAGCACAGGAGTGAGTGTAGACGTGGCTGAACGCTGCTTGCGAGGACGCCTTCTCCTCCGTGAAGGTGGGGTCGTGTGCATGGAAATCGTCCTCTGCTGTTCATCTGTGTTTTGATTTTCGATGACAGGATTTATTGAAACAATTGAGTCTGGTATACTCACTGCGGTAATGAGTGCTGTCAGACCGTCGCCAGCTGACCGGGCTGAAACCGCAGGAGTGGGTTGAGGCGTAATGGGGTGATGATGGCGAAGGCGACCTCCCTTCTGTAATGGAGAAGGGATGTCAAACAATTGTGCCGCAAGCATCGACGGGAAAGCCCTCTGCCAATTCGTGAAAAACCAAGCCTCTAGGAGAGCAGCCGAACTTTCCTTGCTCAGACCACCCAAGCCAAATAATTCAAAACTTGAGCTCTCCCTTAAACTAGTGACCAATTGCTTAAGTTTCTTAATGTCCAAAAAGTTCGCAGTGAAGGTAGTCAATGAGAGATAATTGTCAAAGAACACTACCTGTATATGTCTCTTGGGTGGGTCTACAGCCTGTATTACGCTCCGGCAGTAATCCCATAGCTGCGTGAGCGATCCCTCCTCCGTGGCAACTCCTGAGTTTGCTGGGTCCATGGTTGTTGGCGGGATCATTCTGTCACGGTCTGGCTGGCAGACCGTGGGAATATGGGGGAACGAGGACCCAAAACGCATGGTTCTGCGATGCAAACAGCGCACTTTATTTACAGTGAAGGCTGTAAACACAATAACTCCCCGTTGCTCCCTTGAATCCTGTGTGTGTGTGTGCTCCCCTCCGACGTCTGTGCTCGTGGTCCCCGCTGTTGTGTGCTCGCACACCCTGTGCGTGCTGCTGTTCTGGTCCACTCTTCCACCTGGAGCTCCAACACTCTCCTAAGTAGCTCCCCCGACGAGCCCTGATCACCAACAGGTGTGTGGCAGGAACTTCAGGTGTGGCCAGTCCTCCTGCCGGGCCACACCCATCAGGCCTGCATGTGGCTGTTCTCCATCCTCCAGCCACACATGTACACACCCACACCCTGCCTATACATATAACGAGTGGAACACAGACTAACACAGCATTGTGCAGAAAGACACACACATCACAAAATAATAATGATAATAATAATAATAATAACAACAACTGTCAAAACTGCTCACGGACCCCCAGTCCTCCAGAGCCGGGTCCGTGACAGTTCCTCCATGTTTGCTGTAATATTTAAGTAGTTTAGTGATGCTTTAAATTAAATCTCACTTAATGTATAAACTATACAATTTAAAGTTTTATTTTGAGACAGTGAACTGAATATTGCTATGTTTAAAATTACCAGTGATCAGGCTGTGGCTGTATTTTGCAGATTTTAAGAGTGAATGCATGGAGCTGCACATTAACTTCACACTAAAGTGAATCCTGGAAAATGAAGATTGTATTTGTAATTCTTTCTCAGAGTTCCTTCAAACTGTCGGAGAGATTTCAGCCTGTTGATGTTTGACCCTGATGGGGATCAGGTTAAATGCAGATATGGAAACTCCTCACTCTCGGAGTGTAACGGCTGTGAGCCACCATCTGTCCTCAGCCTCTCATCAGTGAGCATGACTGTTAATCTAATGTTTAATGAGACAGAAGGATAGTTGTAATAATAAACATTTGCTCATTTGATCGCTTTTCCTTTTTTATTCCTCATGCAGTCCACTTGTACTCTGTCGTTCGCCCCCACTGCTGACAGTAATGTGGGCAACTATGGAGTACAGCTGCTGATGGAGGACTTTCCCATGAAGAACATCACCATGACTGGAGTCAATGGCACAAAAACAACACAAACACCTAACGATGCTCTCAGCAAAATACCGATCCAGTTTGTTCTGATAGGTACAAGTCCATATTTTAATAGATGGAGTTGAACCTGTAAAGATCTGATCTGAACTTAGAAATACTGTTCTAACTTCGAACTATGAATTCCACCCCGAAAGAAACTCATTGGTTTTCTGTCATCTTTCAGTGGATCCTCCTGTCTTATCCTGCACAGAGGGAGACTTTTTGCCCAAATTCTTGCCTCCAACCCCAAACAACAGAGCTCGGCTCTACACGCCTGTTAATAAGACTCTGGAAATCAACATCAGTGCAGAGGCACAAAACTCCACGTAAGTCAAAGAAAAACACATTTGACATTCTTGACATTGTAAAGTAAGGTTAACTATGTCCCACAGAACTGTTTTCAGGTTAGACAAGAAATACATTCACACATCAGTCGATTCCTGTCATGTTTCTGTTCATTGATCAAATCAAGATTTTATCCGTTGCATTCTGTTTAATCTGTGCATCAGTCCTGCACTGGCACACAAAACAGGTTTAACAAGACACGTAAGAGCGTAACACAGTCAGATGTATACAAGGCTGTATGAGATATAAAGAGTAGGTTCAACACATATTTAACCCAAAGAGAAGTCAAATCTGTTTTAAGGCTATTTTGCTTTGATGCAACATGAGTAAATAAAAACTCGTGAAATTATGTTTAAGTAAAATTTGGCTTATTAACTCAAACCCTTAAAACCAAACAGAAGTGAGTCAGGTGAAGTCTCCGTTCAAAGTGATGCTCATTCACAGACAAACACTTTGCTTTGTATGTCGTTGAAGAAGCTATGAGAATTAAGTTGATTCATTTTTTGTTTCTCTCTTCGTTGAAGGATCTCTGAGCTACTGTTCAGCGGACCATATGATGCAATTCAGAATAAAACTGGACCAGGAAATTTCACCCTGAGATGGACGCCGTCTAAATCACAAGACAATGACACCCTCCCCTTCTGCTTTGTTGTCCAGGCACTTTCCAAGTCAGTACCTTTTTACAAATTCATCCCTTAGAGCATGAGTGTTTGGCAGAAAGCACTTAAGCATAGACAAAAGAGCTTGTTTGAATGGGTGAATGAGGCGTGCTGCATAAAGCAGAAAAGCACTAAAGAAGAATCAGTCCATTTGCAATTTTGCAGCCATAAACTATATTGGTGAATGTTTAAATCTGACTTTATTAGAAAATTATTTAGACCCCAGGCCCAGAAGGAGTCATGGCAAGAAAATTAAATCCCCCCAAAGAGCCAAAACCCCTTCCTCTGCTTCCAATGACCAACCAAAAAGTTATTGGTTTGTCATCTAGAACTGTTAATCAAACACACCCATATTACTTGTACATATACTTTGTGTCATTAACAGAAAAGACGATCTTAAAATATAATATAATCTCATGGAAATAATGGAATCACTGTTCTGATTTATTTCCGTAGTGAAACCAAGTATCACTCAGACCTTCGATGTGTCAGCGTGACTGTTGGAAATGGTGTCCCAGCCAGTGCTTCAGCTTGTAAGTAACAATGACAGGAAGTAAATGTTAACAAATAAATAAAGTTGCTAAACCTGTGTATTTGTAAATAATTTTTGACATTGTTGCAAAATTCATTAATTAGAAATGAAAAGCTAAAAATGAACAACTAACCGCAATGAATTTCTCTTCATATTTATCTCCTTTCTTGGAGGCAGAAATGATGCTCAGACCTTATTTTATATTTAATTGCCATAAATCCAGAGGTGACATAAATATAGCTCTTAAAATTTGTGACAGCATTTGTCAGCCAATCAGGTCGACTAATAATGGATTGGATTTATATAGCGCTTTTCAAGGCACCCAAAGCGCTTTACAACACCACTATTCATTCACTCTCACACACTGGTGGAGGCAGCTACAGTTGTAGCCACAGACTGGGGCAGACTGACAGAAGCGAGGCTGCCATATCGCGCCATCGGCCCCTCTGGCCAACACCAGTAGGCAAGTAGGGTAAAGTGTCTTGCCCAGGGACACAACGACCAGGACAGAGAGCCCAGGGATCAAACGGGCGACCTTCCGGTTACAGATGCGATTCCCAACCCCCTGAGCCACAGTCGCCCGTTAATCTTTATGTGTTTTTAAATGAAAAGTCTATTTGGTTGGTCAGAAGTTCTTTAATCATTTTCTACTTGTTTTAGTTATCCTGGTCGTGGGATCTTTCCTTTCAACTCTTATTCTTGCCTTCCCTTCCATGTAAGTATGTGTCTGCATATTTAGATCTTTTTTTGCCGAAATGTGACATTTTGTGTATTTTTTAAACATGTTAGGCCCATAAAATTATTATTGCTATTATTAACTTTTAAAATGAAACTAAATCAACCCCTTTGATCATCATTCTGATGTTGAGTTTTTGTCTCTTATCTCAGATGAAACTGGATAAAATCAGAGGTAAGTTCTTCTATAATCAGATTTTCTACCATAGCATCAATAACTGCTCTTTACCACTAAGTACTAATAGTACAACTGGTATTGCTAAAAGTAGCAGTGTTGATGTCCAGTGATTGAGCTACAGAAAACTATGAGCACACACAAAATGGTTATGGCAACCTCTGTAGGAGCATACAAATAATTCACAAAATATGCTAACACCACACAAAGCACAACTTATTCTATGAAATGGTCCAGAAATGAGTCACATCATACAATCACTAAATATCTAACATATCATTCTGAGGATTATCTCAAATGTAAAAAAAAAAAAATTCTATGAACGCGCTGTTTCAAATTTCCTTCTAGATTGAAGATGTACCTGACTCTGGATTGATGCAACGGTAGCGCCCTCTACTGTTACAACATGAATGTCATCTGACTCTGCACAAATAACTTTTTTCAAGTTTCTTTAAGTTTTGTTCCAACCAATGTAATCAAATTAAATAAGTACAGTAAAAAATATAATGTTGAGTGCAAGGTTATATATCTGAATTTATTTGATTCTGTCATTCTTTTCATTTATCAGTACTTTTAATCGGTGCTTTGGAACTGTTTTTTATTTTTATTTCACTTTGGTTTTATTGATTTTACAATCTTTTTTGTTTATATTTGGAGTACTACTGTATTCAACATAAATAAACATAGTACTCGTCACCCAGTAAATCATTGTCCTAGTAAAGTGGGAATTATTGTTAATATAATTACTGGTTTCGTAACCTTGCTTTTCGAGGAATGGAACAATTACAAATCTTGAAATGTTGTAAAACTAATAATAGTGTGAAGAGCTGACCTAATAACACTATCACACTGATATTTATCTGGAAACAAAATCCATCATAATATTTTTAAGCTGTTAATGAAGTATAACATAACATCCAAAATGGACTCATGGTATTTATTTATTTTCAGAGTGCTGTGCAAGTATGACTGATCTTTGAAGTGTCACTGTTGCAAACACTGATTGGAGTCTTTACTAATTTGTCCTCATTTGTTTCAGGCGATTTACTGAATTGATGTCAATTTTATTTCTGATAGTTTAGCTTGATTTATTTTACCAAGTTATTAATCAGATCATCTGTAACAACGCCTCCTATTAGTCCACAAACTGCTACACTTGAACCAACACCTACTAGTCAACCAAACACTACTCCTACAAGTCTTCCAAAAATGACATTCCCTGGAAATACTCTAACTTGGTGAATTAACAGTGAATTAGTCATGTGAAATAGTTAAAAATGTTAAACAAAAATTAATACATGTAAAACATGGCAGCAATCCAGGCTGACACACGTAGAAGTTAGCTTGTTAGCTCCCTTCTCTTACTTACTTGCAGCAAGGGCAGCCACAGAGTGCTCGCACGGGAGTGAGAGTTCAGGGACTCGCGCTTTGCCACTGCCCTGGTCTTTATTTATACATCCGTAGGTGTGTTTATTCCTTACACTGGAATGTGGATGTGTATATGCGTGTGTGTGTGTGTGTGTGTGTGTGTGTGTGGGGGGGGGGGGGGGTCAGAGTGTGACCCCATAAAGACTTCCCTAAACCTGCTGGTCTGGAAGTCCACAGGTTAATCTAAACAAAAGGCACTTAGACTAGAACTGACATAGCTACGTTTATCCTACCACAAAACAATAAGAGAAGGTACGACCTCTCCCATGCTCCCAGGATGTGGGTGTGAATGCCAGAGCACTCTGGAATGCACACAAAGTCTTGTAGTGAACAACAGGCTAAGACATCAAAAGGTCAACATGCAGTATTCTACCATATGCAAACTTATATTATTAAGTGTGCCTATGCCAAGAGGCACACTTATTACTATTCCTCGGATCCACAGTTTTGACACAAGCTTCATATATGTTATATCATTTTGTGCGGCTGGATCAGGAATGGTGTGCTATGACTTTTGGTGTTTATTACTTCTATAGTTTTTTAAATATGAATATTTTAATGCAAGTTTTTGCCCATTGAAATGAATGGGAAGGAAAGTGAAACTTAACTTGAAACGAAAGTGAAACTTAATTTGTGGTGTGTTGGCTCACTAACTTAATTTGTGGTGTGTTGGCTCACTCTAGTGGTATGCCAGCAGTAGTACGCCCTTATTTGGATTTTTTTTTTGTAGCCGTATGAATGGCAAACTACACTCATTGGCAGCGGCATAGGCACACTTAAAATTTCTTCTGAAATTTTCGCTTTCTAGTTAAAAGATTATACTGACTACTCAGTACAATTTTCTATTGACAGCCGGAAAAGGTAAGTGACAGAATGCTGTAAGTCAGCGGTCCCCAACCTTTTTTGCGCCACGGATCGGTTTATGTCTGACAATATTTTCACGGACCGGCCTTTAAGGTGTCGCGGATAAATACAACAAAATAAAACTAGTACCAGTACCGAAAAAAGAAGATTTATTCATAACACACGTAAAATGACACAGGAAAAACGAGTTAACGATCAAAACGATAACAAAATAACGCTGAAAACCGATAAAAACCCTGAAAACCATACATTTCACACCTGAGCCTCAACTCTCGCGGCCCGGTACCAAACGACTCACGGACCGGTACCGGTCCGAGGCCCGGGGGTTGGGGACCGCTGCTGTAGGTGATGTCAGATGCCGGACTCTTGGCAGAAAGAAAGCAAATGGTAGCTTAGAATTTAACAAATGTTTTTTAAGCTTCAGTTATATTAACATTACATCTTGGAGAGAATCTAAACAAGAGGATATAGTGATGAAGAAAGCCCAGAACACAGCCTCCATGGCCAAAATTAGGATGCTATCATTGAAAAGATGTCGCCAGGCAGACTCCCCCGGCACAACATCGTCTGACTTTGCTAATGTCCTGGAGTTAATCGATGTGCAAATGCCAGCTTTGATGCAAGGCTGTCCCCGTGGAGGTTTTACACCATTTAAATCCGTGAGAGAATCCATGGAGTTCAACCAGCAGCAGGTGGAAATGCTGCTGAAAAAGCCACGCTATGGGAGCCAGTTAAGTCTCTTACCGAGAATGGGACCCAGTTGAACTTAGAAAATAAAAAAAATTAAAGACTGTTAATACACTGCATGCCAGTAGTACGATAGACAATCTTGTGTTTTCTGGTATCCCAGAATCTGCTGGAGAGGACACAGAAGCAACAGTGAAAAGCTTAATTAAAACCCACCTGAAGCTTCCGAGGACACCATAAGGAACAGTCACGAAAGAGTCCTTCTTATCGGAGCTAAGAGATCGGGGGCTGGGAGACCACATCCAATTGTGGCCAAATTTGGCCATTTCAAGTAGAAGGAGCAGGTGAAGTGTCGTAGCAGGTATCTGAAAGGAACGGACTTCAACATGAACAACCAATTTCCGAAAGAGATCCTGGAACTACACAAGGCCCTATTCCCAATCAGACGTGACTTCATCCAGAAGATGCCGTGCATTTAGGAAGTCATTAAGTAGTGTTGAGAATAATACACTCAACAAAAATATAAACGCAACACCTTTGTTACTGCTCCCATTCCCCATGGGATGGATGTAGAGACCTAAAATTCATTCCAGATACACAATATAACCATCCCTCCCAAACAGTGGTCACAAATCAGTCCAAATGTGTGGTAGTGGGCACATCTGCTATATTGAGATAATCCATCCCACCTCACAGGTGTGCCACATCAGGATGCTGATCTGACATCATGAGTAGTGCACAGGTGTACCTCAGACTGCCCACAACAAAAGGCCACCCTGGAATGTGCAGTTTTTTGCGCTATTGGGGGTCTGGGGACCCAGAACCGGTCAGTATCTGGTGTGACCACCATTTGCCTCATGCAGTGCAACACATCGTCGCATGGAGTCTATCAGATTGTCAATTGTGGCCTGTGGAATGTTGGTCCACTCCACTTCAATGGCTGTGCGAGGTTGTTGGATATTCGTGGGAACTGGTACACGCTGTCGTATACGCCGGTCAAGCACATCCCGAACATGCTCAATGGGTGACATGTCCGGTGAGTATGCTGGCCATGCAAGAACTGGGACATTCTCAGCTGCCATCTGCCCTGAACAATGTGAACCATGATTCATCCGTGAAGCGCACACCTCTCCAACGTGCCAGACGCCATCGAATGTGAGCATTTGCCCACACAAGTCTGTTACGGTGACGAGCTGGAGTCAGGTCAAGACCCCGATGAGGACGATGGGCATGCAGTTGAGCATCCCTGAGACGGTTTCTGACAGTTTGTGCAGAAATTGTTTGGTTGTGCAAACCAATTGTTCCAGCAGCTGTCTGGGTGGCTGGTCTCAGACGATCTTGGAGGTGAACCTGCTGGATGTGGAGGTCCTGGGCTGGTGTGGTTACACAAGGTCTGCGGTTGTGAGGCCGGTTGGATGTGCTGCCATATTCTCTGAAACGGCTTATGGTTGAGAAATGAACATTCAATGCACGGGCGACAGATCTGGTTGACATTCCTGCTGTCAGCATGCCAATTGCACGCTCCCTCATTGCTTGTGGCATCTGTGGCATTTTGCTGTGAGACAAAACTGCACATTCCAGGGTGGCCTTTTGCTGTGGGCAGTCTGAGGTATACCTGTGCACTACTCATGATGTCAGATCAGCATCCTGATGTGGCAAACCTGTGAGGTGGGATGGATTATCTCAATATAGCAGATGTGCCCACTACCACACATTTGGACTGATTTGTGACCACTGTTTGGGAGGGATGGTTATATTGTGTATCTGGAATGAATTTTAGGTCTCTACGTCCATCCCATGGGGAATGGGAGCAGTAACAAAGGTGTTGCGTTTATATTTTTGTTGAGTGTAGATTGCTTGGTATACATTGGAGTTAGAGAGACTGTAGTTTGTGATTGTTTGCAACATTATAATATGGCACAGGGGCGATTCTAGGATCAGAGCTTTGGGGGTGCTGAGCACCCAGAGAGCTGCCCAGCCAGGCCAGATAAACTTTACTTGTCACAATGAGACTTCTTCCCTGTCTCTGTTAGTCCCTGCATCCCTAAATGCCTCCAGTTGTCCCATGTTCTCTCTGACTGTCTCCTTGGTGCATTTAAACCCCTGTTCCTCCCTGTCCTCGTTGTCTGTTGTCTTCGTCTCCGTTATCAGTCATCATAATTTTACCCTCTCTGTGCAAGTCTGCAAATTGCTTTATTAAATCATAAGATTCTTAAATTCATCAAGTCTCTCTGTGCCTGGGTCCTCGTCACAAAACATGACACCACTGTTTTGTAAATTTTAACACAATTTAATAAGGATATGCTTCAGCCAATACCTTTTGATTAGCCTTGTCTCGTGGTTTCTTGCTTTATCTATTTATGATCTTTATTCTGTTTTCACTGAGATATTTGAATGCTAATCAATAAATCAATATTCAATTCTAAAAAAAAAAAATTCTAATCCCCACATTTGTGAAAGAAAAGCAAAACACTTTTTTGAAAAGTCTGTAACAAAACCATCAAATCTGATAACGTTTATTTAAATGCTGCAAAAGAAGAATGGATTGCAATTTTTAAAAAAATACATATCCTAACCTTAATTACTGGGGGAGAATAATGAATGATTCTCACAGTGAGTAAAAAGTAAACTGAGTGCATTATTTGGACAGAGATTCACTTTTAATGTGTATGTATAACATAATACAGATACATAAAAATACACTCCAAAAATAGAAGAGTCCTTTAAATGTACAAATTATTAACTAAAAAAATTATAAAAATGGAGGCAACTGTGCCTATGGTACAATGTATGAAAAGATCTTTACTGCAGAATATGGCTCTGCAGATTTTTATTGTAACCTATGTCAACTCACCTTGAGGTTGGCAAATCTATCACTGTTTGGTGGTCAACTCCCTCAAGCAGTTTAACAGTTTCTGTTGTGCCTGTCACTGTTCC